AGAGAGAGAGACAGAGAGACAGAAGGCGAGAAATCACCCCCTAGAGGGGATGGCCATGCCGCAATCCCTTCTCCTCCATTCTCCTCTCGGGATCTTGGGCACACACGCACACGTGCCTGGCGTGAGTTTAAGCCACCAGGTCAGGGACTTGAACCGTGGTTGACTACGTGGGAGTTCAGCGACATAGCCATTACGCCAACTGCTGGTCCCAAGTTGCGTATTTTAACATATATTTAAATAAAGGTTTTTATTGTTTTTTTTTTTTACAACTAAAAGCACGTTCCAGTATACACATACTCTGTTTAAACTGAAACTGCCATGTTACGGAATCCAGCTTGCAAACCAATTTTGTTTTTGCCAAGGTATGTCCATCCTTAGTAACTGATGATTATTTCTTGTCTTTTTCAGTGAATGTTGTGTCAATGTTGCAGGAATTTTGGGAAAACAAGCAGCAGCAGAGGGCTGCGTTCCCAAGTGAAGGTGTCGTGGTCTATGAGTCACTGCCCTCTTCTGGGCCTCCCTTTGTGAGTTATGTGACCCTCCCAGGAGGGAGCTGTTTTGGCAACTTTCAGGTAAGAAGCAGCCTTCAGTTTGTCCATGAAACTTAACTGTGTTCAAATAGAGTCAACCCCTGGTACCAGCAGTTGGCATAATTTCTAGGTTGCTGGACTCCCATGTAGTTGACCATGGTTCAAGTCTCGGACCCGGTGGCTTAAACCCACTCTGGGCGCTTGTGTGTGTGTGCCCAAGATCCCAAGTGGAGAACAGAGGAGAAGGGATTGCAGCATGGCCATCCTCTCTGGAGGGATTATTTCTCGCTTTCTGTCTCTCTCTCTTTCTGGCAAGTGCATGCACCCTATAGCAAAAACCTCTCAAAAAAAAAAATACAGTAAACCACTTCATAAAATGGCAACATTATATACTTTCTTGAAAACAAAGTTGAGACATGCTTTATTACATAGACTGGAAAATTGGTCAAATGTTCCAATTTTTCAAAGTGGAAGTAGTTTATATTAGGATGTTCCTAATATTTCTATATGAAAAATGAATCTGACTCCTTGTATATCCTAAAGAAATGTATTTAGCTTCTCATTTATTGACTGTTGAGAGGGAGAATAAAATCCACATGATTGCTTGGAAGTTGCATAAAATAAACACACAATGTGTTAGCATAGTATCTGGTCCATAGTAAGTATTCTAAGTATTGTTTTATTATGAAGACTTTTCCAGCTGACTGAATTTTTGTTTTGATGATGGGGAGTACATGATGATACATTTGTAGTTGTATATCTGCTCACACAAAGATACCTGCATATATTAACTGTTGACATCCGGGTATCCAGTATTACAAGTATTCATTGAGGAAGTAGGAAATACCAAGCATTTGGCCACATATTGAGGAGATTGTCCATACCCTGAGGAAACCCATGTACAAAAAAATTCACCATAATTGCATAGAATTATATCTGAGGATCAGTGAAAGCATAAGGAAAAGAACTTCTAAATTTACCAATCTCCCTTGCAAGTACCACTTTAATACAGCAAACTATCTCTCAAATGTCAGTAAGGACAAAGATTATTTATAGCTTATGCACACTGTGAAACTCATGAGAAGTTAAGTTTCAGTCTTAGTTTTGACAGCAAAGCAGCCCACAGGCAAAGTTACAGTGTGCCTTTCTATACTGTAAGTCTACAGAACTTGATGTCAAACAATCTTCAAGACTATCGTATCTAATAATGCTTTTACTTCTACACTTACTCTCCCTTTGAATTAGTGCCCCACTCTTTTTTTTTTATAATTTTAAAGTTTTTTAAAGCTTTTTGTTTGTTTTACCATAGGGGGGAAAAAAAATGTACCCACCAGAGTGAGACAGAGAAAGGGAAAGTGAGAAATCACCCCCCTGGAGTGATGACCATGCAGTAATCCCTTCTCCTCCAGTCTCCTCTCGGGATTTTGGGCATACGTGCACCTGGCGTGCTTTTCAAGCCATCGGATTTGGGTCTTGAACCAGGATCTGCCATGTGGGAGTCTAGCACCCTAACTACTACACCTGTTGGCCCCTTATTATTTAAATTTTGTTGTGGGGCATATGCCCTTGCCAGAGAGAGACTGAGAGGGAAAAATGAAAAAGCACCCATGCCACAATCCCCTTTCCATTCCTTCTCAGGACTTGGGGCATGTGGGCACAAGCACTTGGTTTGTTTTCCAAGCTACAGGTCTGAGACTCAGACTATCCAGTGGCCATATGAGAGCCAGCTACTGCAACTACCATGCCACCTGGCTGGCTCACTCTCAATTTATCCTTTTTTTAGGATGTGTATTTCACATAGAAAAGTGAGATTAGAGAAGGCTGTGGTTTAACAAAGACTCATAGGCCAGCCAGGTGGCCTGATGGTTATTACAGCTGGGTCCCACATAATTGACTGTGTCAAAAGTAGTCCTTCCTAGACCAGCAGATGGTATAATGGTTACATAGCTGGACTCCCATATAGTTGGCTGCGGTTCGAGTCCCAGATCCGGTGGCTTAAAACTCACACCAGGCACATGTATGTGTATGCCCACCCAAGATCCCAAGAGGAGAATGGAGGAGAAGGGACTGCAGCATGGCCATCCCCCCTAAGAGATTACTTCTCACTTTCTGTCTTTCTGTCTCTCTCTGTCTGGTGAGCACATGCACCTTATAGCAAAAATCTCTCTCAGAAAAAAAAGCTACTGGTCAGCAGTAGTTAGGAAAATAGAACAACCTTGCCTCCTGCCCAGTAGGGAGTTGGAGAGAAAGTATGATCTGGTCAAATTTTCACCAGTGGATTCTAGACATGTAAGCCATAATTAAAGCTGAATGAACAAGACAGAGCTAGGGGATACAAACAGTTCTCAGATACCCTACAGAGGTAGACCAGAATCAGCAAGATGAACTACTTTTAGAATGTAAAATACAAAAAAAATTCTTAAGACTGAATCAAGATGGTGGTTCTGGTACATTCCGCAACCTTTATTCTAGTCTAATTAATATGCTTTAAAAATATCAAAGACATGTTTTCAAATAAGTAAATTCACAATAGTGCTGGGCAGTAAGAAAGAGTACCATCAGAAAAGATGAACTTTGAGGCAATTCGGGGAGATAAAAGTAGAATCAAATTACTAGATACAAAACTGCCACAGTCTAAATATGTACAGGATAAATGTACTGTGAAAATAAAAAGGAACTAGAGAAACTCCACGGTTAGATGAATGAATGGACAAAAACAGATCCTAGAGTCACTTTAAGGCTAAAGAATTGCTTTGATCAGGGACCAGCAATTGGCATAATGGCTATGTAACTGGCCTCCCATGTAGTCGACCTTGGTTCAAGTCCTGGACCCGGTGGCTTAAACTCACACTGGGCCCATGTGCGTGTGTGCCCAAGATCCTGAGAGGAGAATGAAGGAGAAGGGATTGAGGCGTGGCCATCCCCTGTGTCACCTCAAGACTCTGCAAAGATCCTTATTATAAGTGGTCCCCTGACCTTAGACCTTCAAAACTGAACTAAAATAAATCTCTGTTTTTAAACAAATCACCAAAGTTTAGGATATTTGGTTATTAAACAACATAGACCAAACTGAATCATGCGCTAAGCATGAGAGAAGGTGTAACATAAAAATACATAGATCAATTTATTAAAAAAAAAATGAGAGTTGGCCTTGTAGAACAGTGGTTAAGGAAGCCAGATCCCACATGGCCTACTGCAGTTCACGTCCCAGACCAGGTAGCTTACAAAACACAACAGCCGTGTGTGCAGGTGTGCGCACTCAAAATCTCTATAGGAAGAGGAAATGGAGGAAAGAGGTCTGTGCCATAACACATCCCATTTGGAAGTGCTTTCTCCCCACACCCCTTTCTTTCTCTGATGAGTGCACACACCCTTTGGCAATTAAAAATAGAAAAAATAAAACCAGGGAACCAGCAGTTAGCGTAATGGCTATGTCGCTGGACTCCCACGTAGTCGACCGCGGTTCGCGTCCCGGACTCGGTGGCTTAAAACTCACGCCGGATGCGTGTGCGTGCGTGCCCAAGATCCCGAGAGGAGAATGGAGGAGAAGGGATTGCGGCGTGACCATCCCCCCTGGGGGGCGATTTCTCACTTTCTGTCTCTCTCTGTCTTTCTGGCAAGCGCACATGCCCTATAGCAAAAAAAAAAAAAGTTTCTCCAAAAAAAATTACAATAAATGATAAGGACTCTTTCTGAGAACTATGTATTAACATTTTAACTTTTCTGTAAGTATAATATTTCAAGATAAAAAAATGTAAAGGGAGGTTTCCATAGCTCCCTATTACCTTCTTGTTGATGGCTACAGGCTTTACTCTGTTAGTAAAGACTCTACAACTTGCCCAACTTTTCCTCTGGTTTATCCCTCTGAATTCGTTTCCTAACCTTTGATGCTTCACTATAACTGCTCCCCATCCCTGCCTTGACCTTTGCTAGCTATTCCCATACTGTGGCCTACGTGTGAAGTACCACCGCCACCTCCTCTTCATGCCTAAACCCGGCCCATCTCCCATGACTTCACTTACATGACACTCCTCTATGTCTTTTCTCTAAATTTTCCTGCCAGAAATCTCTACCTCCTCTGATTTCCCAGAACAATTATTTCTGTTTCTCTACTAGTGCTTAATGTTTTCTGTCTTAAGCAAAAGTTACTTACGTGCATGTTCTATCTCTTAATAAAATGTAAGCTCCCTCATGTCTCCACACTCCAAGCACCACATTTTACATATATTAAGTGCATAATACATTTTATTGAATAAATATAACATCCCAAGAATTGATGAAGGAAATGTTTGTTCACTCTTTTATATAGTCAGTAGTCAGCTATTTCACCTAGTTCTGCAAGGCAGTAGTTTAGGAAGGAAAAGTCATGAGATTAAAATTGTGTGATATTATTTTGTTCATTGTGGTTAAAGTGTTAGTAAATGGATTTCAAAGTATTGATTTCAAAAGACTCAGTTCTCTCTGGATTTCATTTATGCGTAGTAACTTTTTTCCCACTGGACTCTTCTGACCATAAATAACCAAGATTTGGCTGTACTCACACCCAGGCATAGACATTTGTTCAAACTTAATAAATAAACTCATTATAATCTACCTAGAATATAATACACTTGACAGATCAGTGAATAGATCTAGAGGATGAATCTAAGAAATTCTAGTTTTCTTGTGTTTGTCTTTATTTTGCTACCCTAAGAACTATAATAGTCTCCACTGTCTGATAAATTATGATGCAAAATGACAGGATTTCCCACAGGTAGGAGATTGAACATAACTCCTTGTGGTCTTAAAAAAAAATAGAAAACAAAATGAAAAAGTAAACTCTTCA